CCAACCGCAAGCCGCGCGCCAACCACGGCTCCGACCAGATCTACTCTTCCCGGCGCGCGACGAGGACTTCCGCTACCGCATGAGACCTGCGCATCCCGCAGTTCTCGCGCATGGTCGTCAACTTCGTGCGCACGCTGTGATGCAAGCGCACACCGGCGCTCCTCCAACCCACCACTCCCGCGCACTTCCCCGACCCCCCTCCCCGCCCCGCCTGCACATCCACATCGCGCACGGCACCCGCACCCCGCGCCCCGCCCTCCACCCACTCCCACCCCCTCCCCCGCCCCGCCTCCGCGAACCGCCACCACACACACACATCCGCCCCGTGCCGCGCGTTCCCGCGCCCACCCCCACTCTAAACCTCACCCCTTCCCATGCCCCGCGACACCCCCCACATCTGTCCCCCTGCCAACCCTGCGCCACGCTCTATAGTTTACTAAACCAGCTTAACATCATGGTTTGGTAACATCCCACATGCCGCAGTCTTTAACAAATTCAAAGTTATCACTAGATTACTAAACCATTTCAACATATTGATGTTTATAAACGTATGATGTTTTGGTCGATGTATTACTAACATCGATGTTTGGTAACATCGACACATCACTAATTGAAACGCACTTGTGCTCTATAGATTACTAAACCAGCTTAACATCGTCGTTTGTAACATCCTCATGCGTACCGCAAGCCTTTGTCAAATTCAAAGTTATAGATTACTAAAACCAGCTTTATCATATTGATGTTTAGAAAACGTTGTTGTTTTTTGATCGATGTATTACTAACATCTATGCATTTAAACGCACATGTGCGGTTATAGATTACTAACCCATCTTTAACACATGTCTGCTGTGTGTGTGTGTGCTGGTGTGGGGTGTGTGTTGTGTGTGTGTGTGTGTTGTGTGTTGGTGGTGTTGGTGACGTCGTGTGGCGCGTGCGCAGGAGGCCGACGCGCCGGGCCGAACGCGCGTGGAGGGGCGAGATGCCGCGCTGACGCGCACGACGACTCTACCTGCATCGCGTCGACGGCTGGGAGACCGCGCGCGGCTTCACGCGCGAGTTACCACGCCACCAACCCGCCTCCCGCCGCTCCCCGCCCACGCCCCCTCGCCGCCGCCTCCCTCCCGTCTCGTCGCGACGCACGCTCGCGCGCCGCGTGACCGCAATAAACGTCTTTGCTAAAAACATCCCCTGCGTCCTTGCTGCTTCCAGAACTCTCCTTTCATTCACAATTGGGAGCGGAGGGAGTTACGTCTCTGATATTTTAAATTCACCTATCTTTCAAGTTACCAACTAATACGACTATCATTCCTCCTGTACTACGTCTATCTATAGAAATAACACGACTTCGTAACTGTATTTCATTGTTCTTTTTTACTACAGCCCATTCGATTGTATTTTAGGTGAAGAGCCTTCAGTCATCCAGCGTATGTGTCCGTCACTACCGACGTAGTCAATTGTAATAATTTAATCCCTACCAATACTCATTTATTCTTAACCTATACATTCTCATTTACTCTCATTACCATGATAAAACAAACTTCGCCAGTAAAATACTTGCGAATATTAATGATGTAATAATTTAAGTTTATTTTTTTCTAAAGATCCGCTTCATAAATAGCAAGAGTTTTATAAAATGTGCGATTATAATAATAAATATATATAATTAATTAAATACAATTATTGAATTTTAAATTAGTGAGAATTTGAGAGGAGACACAAGATATTCCTCTACCTCTTTCCCTTCCTTCAAAGGATAAAAACCCTATGATACGGGTATGTGCACATACAGAATTTAATGTTCAAGATCATTCTGTACTTTAGAATCCGAGATCCTAGCTTACTGTCTCACAAATATTTCAAGAATTTTCCTCTACATTTAATCTTCACTTATGATAGTACAGAACATAGTTTAGAAAAAATGTATGGTTGAGGTGTGTTAAGTTAATTGAGCGAAAAAAAATTAGTAAAAGTTGAATTCAACACAATTATACTAATGTGTTTACATAATTACCTATTACAAATACAATAATACACGTAATAACAACAAATACAAATAACAGTAACGTTAAAGTTAAATAATAATACAGTAACACAATAACAAAATGATACAATAGCTTAAGATACAAAAATAATTGAAATAACAGAATACACAAAATACCGAATCGACTTGTATCAAGTGAACATGATTGTTACAGATATCATAATACTAATAATTCATCTCTTATAGTGGTCGTAGAAATTTAGCTTGAACTATTCATTTATAAAAATGCCCGTAATTTTAGAATATGAAATAAAAAAAATACATTTTATATCTTTCACTGATTAGTCAATCAAACAATTGGGAAAGAAATAATACATAATTGTGTAATCTCCTAACCCTTATAAATGGCACTCACATTAAATAGTTTAATTTTTCATCACTATTCATATTACATACCAACATTATGAATTGATTGTATTTTGTGTCATATATTTCTACTGTTGATGTTGATCTTGTCACTGGACATCCTAATTTGAGCGACTACTCTAGAATTCGCGCGCAATTCGTCTGTTTATGCAATCTCGAATAAACAACATTCCTAACAGAAGCGTCATTGTTCAACTCCGGTTATAGAACTCGAAATAGTAAAGCCTAGGTTATATGAACTTAAGTCACTGATCCAGTTTCACTTACGTCACAAATAAACCAAACAATTCGTTATAGTAACCGAACCGCCGCATATATCTCTCTCTTGAAACCAGCTTAACATCATTGTTTGGTAACATCACGCATGCCGCAGGTCTTTAACAAATTCAAAGTTATACACTAGATTACTAAACCAGCTTTAACATATTGATGTTTAGAAACGTTGATGGAATTTTGTCGATGTACTACTAACATCGAAGTTTTGTGATACACGTCACATCTCTAATTCAAACGCAGTTGTGGGCTGTATAGATTACTAAACCAGCTTAACATCATCGTTTGGTAACATCGCGTATGCCGAAGGCCTTTAACAAATTCAAAGGTTTATATTACTAAACCAGCTTTAACATATTGACGTTTATAAACGTTGATGGTTTTTGGTCGATGTATTACTAACATCGATGTTTGGTAACATCGACACATCACTAATTGAAACGCACTTGTGGGCTCTATAGATTACTAAACCAACTTAACATCGTCGTTTGGTAACATCGCTCATGCGTACCGCAAGCCTTTGTCAAATTCAAAGTTATAGATTAGTAAACCAGCTGTAACATATTGATGTTTAGAAACGTTGATAGTTTTTGGTCGATGTATTACTAACATCTATGCATTTAAACGCACATGTGCGGGTTATAGATTACTAACCCATCTTTAACACATGTCCGCTTTGTGGTGTGTGTATGTGTATGTGGTGACGTCGTGTGGCGCGTGCGCAGGAGGCCGACGCCGCCGGGCGAGACGCGCGTGGAGGGCGCGGAGTGGCCGCCACTGACGCGCGACGACGACGTCTACCTGGGCATCGGCGTCGACGGCTGGGAGACGCGGCGCGGCTTCACGCGCGAGTATCACGCCACCAACGCCGCCCCCGCCGCCGCCATCTCCGCCCACGCCGCCCTCGCCGCCGCCGCCCTCGCCGTCCTCGTCGCGACGCACGCTCGCGCGCGCGCGTGACCGCAATAAACGTCTTTGCTAAAAACATCCCCTGCGTCTTGCTTGCTTCCCAGAACTCTCCTTTCATTTACAATTGGGGGAGCGGAGCGAGTTACGGCTCTGATATTTTATTTTCACCTATTTCCATCTTCAAGTTTCCAACTAATATAACTATTCATTTCCTCCTGTACTACGTCAATCTATAGATGATAACACGACTTCATAACTTCATTTCATTGTTTCTTTTTTACTACAGCCCATTCCGATTGTATTTTAGGTGAAGAGCCTTCAGTCATCCAGCGTATGTGTCCGTCACTACCGACGTAGTTCAATTGTAATAATTTAATCGCTACCAATACTCATTTATTTCTTAACCTATACATTTCTCATTTATTCTCTTATTACCATGATAAAACAACTTCGCCAGTAAAATACTTGCGAAGATTTAATGATGTAATAATTTAGTTTATTTTTTTCTAAAGATCTGCTTCATAAATAGCAAGAGTTTTATAAAATGTGCAATTATAATTAATAAATATATATAATTAATTAAATACAATTATTTGAATTTTAAAATAGTGAGATTTGAGAGGAGACACAAGATATTCCTCTACCTCTTTCCCTTACCTTCAAAGGATAAGAAACCCTATGATGACGGGATATGTGCACATACGAGAATTTATATGTGTTCAAGATCATTTCTGTACTTTAAAATCCGATATTCTATGCTTGACTGTCTCACAATTATTTCAAGAATTTTCCTCTACATTTTAATCTTCACTTATGATAGTACAGAACGTAGTTTAGAAAAATGTATGGGTTGAGGTGTGTTAGAATTAATTGAGCGAAAAAAAATTAGTAAAAGTTGAATTCAACACAATTTTATTACTAATTGGTTTACATAATTGACCTATTACAAATACAAATAATACAGTAATATACAACAAATACAAATACAGTAACGTAAAGTATAAATAATAATACAGTAACACAATAACAAAATGATACAATAGCTTAAGATACAAAATAATGGAATAACAGAATATATAAATATACGAATCGACTTGTATCAAATGAGGCATGATTTGTTACAGATATCATAAGGTACTAATAATTTACTCCTTATAGTGGTCGTAGAATTTAGCTTGAACTATTCATTTATAAAAAATGCCCGTAATTTTAGAATTGATGAAATAAAAAAAAAAATACAGTTTTATATCTTTCACTGATTAGTTCAATCAAACAATTGGGAAAGAATAATACATAATTGTGGTAAGGTCTCCTAAGCCCTTATAAATGGGGCACTCACATTAAATATGTTTAAGATTTTCATCACTATTCATATTACATACCTAACATATTGAATTTGATTGTATTTTTTGTCATATATTTCTACTGTTGATGTTGATTTCTTTGTCACTGGAC